ATTTAGAACGGAGGTCACATTTTTGTATACAGAAAACATGCAATCCATTGATCTTTGGATGGGAATCTCATGTCAGAGCAGGTAGGTATTGTCCTGGAAATCAGCTGTGCCCACATGCTATCCTATCACCTGGCATTTAACCCTATCCAGTGCAACGGACCTAGGATGCACGGTGAAAGCTTATTCTCACAACATATGAAACCAGGTCAATGACAAATGTATTTGCTCGACATCCTATATTTGTTGGAATTTGTGCATGCGTGTTTGTGTGTGTGGCTTAGCGTATTGTGGCTCAGCATATTGTGCGAACCCAGAAAAATGGGTTCCTTCGCTAGCAAGGTTAAGTGTCTTGTCTGAATGCAGCCTGAGTGTTCTTGAGCTAAAGGAGGACAATGTAATCAAATGTAATCTGATTCCCTAAGGAAGTCCAGACATAGAAAAGAGGAAATTTCTGCAAAATGAGAGATAGCTTTCAAGAGAATATCAAGAAAATCAAGTCCCTCCAGGGGAAAACAGGGGCAGCCTTAGGAGGATCAAAAAAGTCAAGATGGCAGCCATGATTGTGTGATCGAAACCCTGCCCCTTTTAAGGCGTGTTGTATGGGCAGGACATTAAAAAGGGGTGAAGCCTTGATCCCATGGTTGCAGTGGCCATCTTGACTTTTTTGACCTCTGTGGTTGCTCTGGGTGGGGAGCAGGTGACTCTTGAAAGAGAAGGCATGGACCATTGGAAAGGTTCAGTTAAGACCAGCATGTCATTGACACTTCCGGTGAGCACCAAGGCGAGCTGATGTCCCGCTCATCAGCAGGACAGCATTTGGGAGGGGAATCACAGCTGGATGCTGGATATGGACTGGCAAAATTTCTCTGGAAGAATGAGAAATCATTGAGATTATCCACATGGCTCTGGACAGCCGCTACTCATGAGTAGACCACAGAAACTGGTCTAGGGGAGCGGCTGGGAGTTGGGATTTCATCAAGCTCACGCTCGCAAAGCAGCCTTTCATGGATATTAAGCTCGCGCAAGCCTCATTTCTTAATCACTTTTTTGGAATATTAACTTTTTTTGTTTATTGGGGAGATTAAGACCCCAGACCCAGCAAGGTTTTACTGTATTCTTCAAGTGAGTTTCTTCCTCCTGAGAGGACGATGGTGTAAATTCGATTTTAAAAGTTTTGAAAATCTATGATTTTTTTGGATTATGCAGCAAAAGGGTGCTTAGTATATGAATTCTGGAAAGTTAACCATGGATTAACGGGCTGGAGGGATTTGGAATTACAGCTTTGAATGAATTAGAAGATATTTTCTCAGGAGAAAATGGTGACTGTTTTGGCTTTTTTTATGTTAAGGAGACCTTGGAGGTTGGACACTAGAAGAAGCAAGGGGACAAAGAATATGGAGCAGAAATCCATATGCGAACTTTAAGCTTCTTAATAGAATGGATAAATTGCTTGATAAGATGGACAGAGCATGTTGTAATGAAGGTATAGAACAAGAACAAATCGCAATGGATGGCTATGAAATTACTTGGAAGCGGGACTTAAATGTAACACAAATGGATCTGATGGATGACTTATTCCCTAAAGCAGGGTTCCTCAACCTTGGCAACTTTAAGATGGGTGGACTTCAACTCCCAGAATTCCCCAGCCAGCCTTGCTGGCTGGGGAATTCTGGGAGTTGAAGTCCGCCCGTCTTAAAGTTGCCAAGGTTGAGGAACCCTGCCCTAAAGGACATGTACAGATATCAAACCAGGAAATTGGTTTGGATAAAGTCCTTCAAAACCTTAACAGAGCTCTTTTGTATAACCAGTAGGAAAAAATTATCCAAACCAATTGCAAGGCTGGCTGGGGAATTCTGGGAGTTGAAGTCCGCCCGTCTTAAAGTTGCCAAGGTTGAGGAACCCTGCCCTAAAGGACATGTACAGATATCAAACCAGGAAATTGGTTTGGATAATTTTTTCCTACTGGATATACAAAAGAGCTCTGTTAAGGTTTTGAAGGACTTTATTACAAGTGAAAAGCAAAAGGATAAATTCTACTTATCGGATATACAAAAGAAACTTGTTAGAGCTCTGAAAGATTTTTGCCTTGAAACCCAAGACGACCAGCAAACGATCTCTGGGTCTCTCTTTGAAGGGATTAAAGAATATTTTTAAAAACTCTGGGAAGGAATACAAGGTTGGTTTGTTCTATCAGGGCTAAAAGAGGAAAATAGTTATATCTGGTTGCCCTTGTTGGACTTTTGCTGACAAAGGATGGACAAAACATTTGGATTCTGTTTTGTTACTTAAGAGATGAGCTATGGGGAGAAGTGAGATCATGTCGTATTTAGAGATGTTGATAGGCTATTAAAATTACTTGCTGGGATAAAGGGGGAGGTTATTCTTTTTTTTCCCCCTTTTCTTTCTTTTTTTCTTTTCCACACCCCTCCTTGTTTTTTTCTTTTGTATTTTCTGTTCATATTTTCGGTATTTTGTATTAGCTTTTATTCTTTTCATTTATAATTCTTAATAGAATTGGTTTTTAAAACAAGGCCAACACCTCATTAGCCTGATTAATAAGCCACACCAAAGAAACTAGGATAGAAACTAAAGCCTTCTTCAGAAACTGGGTCTTGCTCAGATGAGGACGAGAGGAACAAATTGTGCTAAAGAAAAGCAAGCAAACAATAATTTAAAAAAAAAAGGGAAAAAAACCCCTTCCGAGGAGCAAGCAGAAAATCTAGGGTGTGCCTGCAGGCGACTTTCAAAACATGTGCAGAATTGAGGCCGAGAAGGGGAATTAAAAATAAAGTCCAACATCTTGTTAACAAGTTGAATAAACAAAGCAGCCGCTCAGGACAATATCTGTGGAAGAGATCTTGAAGAATCCAAATGCGGAATTGCTCGTTATCCAAGCAAAAGAAAACAAATCAAATCAAACCAGATCTGGAGACCCAGAAGCAAACTGGGAAGATCTCCAGGAGAACATGATTTCTAAAAAAATTAAAATTAAACATGGATCAAGGGAAGACTGAAGAACTTAGTTAGATAACTGGGTGATCTGCATTCACTGCTGGAAATCTTTATTAAAGGCAAAATGGTCAGCCCTATAACAGGAAGAAGGGTCAAGATGGCTTCTTCAAAGGTGGCCCCTGTTCATTTGTCTTTGGGAGTTGATAAGGTTTACAAGATTGTCAGAAGCCTTTGAACAAAGAGATTTCCACTGGCTAATACCTCCAAAAACAGTTTGAAAACAACCCACAATTGTCTTCACTTCTCCCAACTTCCAGAATAGTATTAACCAGGCGGTGTTCACCCTCTTTTTATCTGGCAGGAAAAAGCAGAGAACCGTAGACAGTGTCCCATCCCATGAACTACACAGTTCCTGGAGTAACAAATGCCTTTTTAGCTCACGTTTCACTCTAAAAGGAAATGAATAAATTACCAACTCCTCACCCATGTTTTTCAGTAAATATAACTGTGTGCACTGGCCTGATGCTTTACAAATGAAAAAGAAAATGAAAAAACAAAACAAAACACAGAGCTATGATGGCATGCTGTGGAAGGGACTCTATCCTGGCCAGACCCCACTTGGAAAACCGAGTCCAGTTTTGGGCACTGCACTCTAGAAAGGATATCAACAAACTGGAGGAAGTTCAGAAGAGGGTCACCAAGATGGTGAGACACCTGGAAACTAAGCCCAGTAAGAAATAGTTAAAGGATGTCTTCTCTAGAGGGGAGATATGAAAATAGTCTTCAGATATCTGAAGGGCTGTCGCAAAGATTTAATCTCTATTGTCCCAGAGGGCAGGACCAGAATCTAAGGGTTAAAACTACAGTTTGAAGCTGGGCGTCAGGAGGAACTTTCTGACTGTATGAGTTGCGAGTCAATGGAAGAGGCTGCCACGTGAAATAGTAGGTTCTCCTTCTGGAGGTCTTCAGACAGAGGCTGAATGGCCATCTGTCAGAGGTGAACTAGTGGATCCTGTTCCATGTAGGAGGTTGGACTAGATAACGTCTGAGATCTCCTCCCAGTCCATGATTTTATGATTGGTAAAAAATGATAGCAAAAACATTGAAATCCTCCAAAGGCTTCCAGCTGTCTTGCCATCATTACTCTGTTGCACTTAAAATGCTGGGAGGGGTGAAAAGTTAGCATACCACATTTTGGCTTTTCCACATAGTTGTGACCATGCTTACATTTTGCTATGGCAGCTGATTTGGAGAAGGAGAGAAATAAGTTCTAAATAACAGTTAGATACCAAATTTTTATGGAGGAAGTCATAGCTAGAAAAAGGAGGCAGGAGTTCTCACTAGGGAAATGGATGGACCAAAATGACTTCAGAATGAATTCAACAGCTTTATTGTAGTTTCCTGGAGCAGAATTAGAAATGAACGGACCTTCCTTCCCAAAGAAGATGAGAAGGAGAATCTCTGCTGGATCCAGAAGCATCTATGGAGGGTGGTGGGGCTTGACCAACTGTGTGTTGCAACATCATGATGCAGACACTGTTCTTTTCGAGTTTAAGGGGCAACATTGTGATGCAAGAACAAAAAGGCTGTCCAGAACCAGTGTATTCTCTTATTGTGGACCAGTGTAATGTCCAAAGGGGCCAATAAGTCTAAATTATTTATAGCAGTTGAAACAAAGCAAAAAAGGACACCTCAGAGGTCAAAAGTATCTGAGGGAACAGACATCAAAATGACAGTTCAATGCAAGCAAGTGGAACATATTAAAGCAGCCCGCCCCCAACTTTAATTAACCAGAAAAGGAGGTCTGGTGAACAGTTCAATCAACACATTGAGCAAGTGTGTGTCTGCTGTGAAAAAAGCAAATTCCCTGGGGAATTCTGGGAGTTGAAGTCCACGCACCTTAAAGTTGCCAAGTTTGAAAAACACTGCTCTAACAGGAAGGAACAAAGTTTGAGGTTTTTAGGCACAGGAAAAAAAGAGGAAAGAATAAGAAGGTGAATCACAGGAGTTATAAAATTACCGTGAAAAATCTGGGTTTACACTGCTAGTTTGGAAGAATGGGATTTTATTATCTGCAAGATTGCTACAGTTGATCAAACATCCACCTTGTCTAATGGTAGAGGTAAACAACCTAGCTGGGAATTCTTGAAGATTTAGCCAGAGACAACTGGTCTCCACCAATAAATGGATCTTCTTTGAATTCTCCTTTCTTTCAACAATCCTACATATCTTGTAAAAGAAAAGAAATCCGTCTGCAGGTTCTTAAGATTCCTTAATTTCAGGAAAAGGTAGGTTGTAGGAAAATGTATTTTGGAAAAAACAAACAGGTAGTCTTCACATTCAAGGTTGTTAGCACCAACTCTCTCTGGAGATCTCCTTATCCCAAGAGCCAAAGGCAACCTCCATCTAAAATATATTATACAGGACACAGTAAACTACAATGGAATACAGGTAGTCCTCACTTACTGACCTTAATTGGGGCCAGTAATGCCATCTTTAAGCAACATGGTCATAAGTCGAAAAACCATGTGATCGTGCCACTTAGCAATGGCAGTTACAGCAGTCCTGGTTGCCATTGTTAAGCGAGGACCGTGTGGGTTGTTAAGTGAGGACCTCGTGACCGTGGCTTCCGACTTTCTGCCAACTTCCCCATTGATTTTGCTTGTTGGAAGCCAACAAGAAAGGTCGCAAATCATGCTAATGTGACAACAGGATGCTGCAACAGTTGGAAGTGCGGGCTGGTTGCTGAGCACCCAAAATGCAATCACGTGACCACAGGGGCACTGCAATGGCCACAACTTTGAGGACCTATCATAAGTACCACTCATTCAGCCCCATTTAACTTCAAAGTGTCTCTGAACAAGTGATCATTAAGCAAGGACCACCTGTATAGCATAGCACCACTGAATTTTTTGAAGCACCTCAGTGTAATGAAACAGCACCAGAGATCAGATTCAAAACCTGAAATCAGATTCAAAACAGTTCCAGCTTAAGCCATGGAATAATTCTGCAGTAGCAACGACTGTACTATAAAGATTTCATTGCTTTGGCTGGCACTTCAAATATATGTCCATGGAGTGATTCTGAACCAACTAGGAGAATCCATACTCTGTTTCTGAAGTCACCTTCATATTTAAATATGAACAGTTCCGAGATGACCACCATTTAAACATTTGACTGTTTAAAGATGGCAACTATCTTTAAAATGGAATTTAGGGAACCTGAGATCCCTGGAAGAACTACAGTTCCTAAGCTTTCGTACATCACAATAACTTTGTTAGGTGAGCTTCATCTGGACATGTGGCTTTTAGTCTGAACATGTATAAGAAAATCTTCCCAGCCTCAGATATTTTTCCAGCCTCGCCTCCTAACTGTCTGTTCTCAGCAGCAGCTGCAACAGGCTGTGTGTGATGGGGCATGATGTAGAATTCAGGAAGACAGGCAGGAATGTATCCAAGAACAACGTATGGATAAATGTTCTGGTGTCTATCAACCAACCATTTGCAGTGTTGTAGTACCTATTGTGCTTCATCTTAAAAACCTTCTGGAATTAAGGAGATTGGAAATGTCTTTTGTGAAAAGAATAGAAGCAGTTGGAGGGACTTCATGCAGCTTCAAGGTCATTGCAAGCTTAATACAACAAAGAGAGGTTTCCACCCATCCTGGTATTTATCTCTGACGTGTTCCGTAACTAAAGAATGACTGATCAACAACAGCCTAAAGGAATGTTGTTGATTTAGCCCATGTTCCCAGCACTTTTCCTCAAACACAAGCATGGCAAGGTTGCTTCCAGCTAATCAGTTCTTTGCCTGAGTCTTCAACCATGGCGTCTTACTGTTTAAATACCCATTGAAGCTTTTCTTGATTTGATTGGTTATGATTTGAAAAATTTCATATGCACAGCATCTGCTGGCTTTGCTTGATTGTCCTTTCGGTGGGCCTAGGGCTTCTGAAGCTGAGAAGCAGCGAGGTCTGTTCAGAGCATCTTTTGTCCAGGCATCTTGCAGAAGAGAGGGACAGTACATAGCTGTTGGAGATGGTACCATCTTTTTGTATTTGGGAGTTGTTTTGACCACTAGGGCAAATGGAAGGAGACAGATAAGGCCAAGAGTCTTCACAAGGCCTTTTCTCTGTGTGTTTTTCACCTGACCTATTGATAGTTAAACCTATTGTCCTTCGGTGTTTAAAGAGGCAAAAGGGAATGTCTTCTATCTCTATCTTTCTTATGCTTCCCTCTCTTCAAGATGTACGTAGCTTAGGAAGAAATGAGACCTACTTTTTACTTCAACATAATGAATGTCCACTAGCATTCATTGCTAGCTGGGCTAAGCCCATATCCTGCATCCTAGACCACCATATTATGAATGCTTTTACTTTTTCCAGTGGGATACTCAGCTTCTTAAATACTCAATATTCTTTCAATGCTCTGTTTATCTTCAGGAGCACATCCTCTATCTGGGGCTCCCTCTGAATTCAAACCTTCAGCGTTTGGATTATTCTGAAACAGAGTTCATCGTTCTGGGTCCAAAGTTGTTAATAAGAATTGCAATCCTGGGTGTTTAAGAGAGAGAGATTCTCCAGGTCTGAAAACAGGACAAGTGAAAGCTCAGAATAAGTCACTCCTTAATACAGCTAGAGGCAGTCTGGGCATCTAAGAAGCTGGAGCTCTTTCAGGCCAGTGATGAAGGGTCAACCGCCTGGAGAGACATCTCCAGGATCTGATGCAGGCAAATCAGGGGCTGAGATTGACAGTGATGGTCTCTCTTGAAGCAAGCTGGCTTTTCTTGAGGGCAGAAGTAACTGCAAGGTGCGTGCAGTTGCTTGAAACAGCCTAGGGGTAAGAGACAAGTCAGAAAACATGAGTATTACTAACTGAAGTATGAAAGATGTTCTTAGGCCTGCTTCTACAACACCACCTGGGCATATTGCCAGACCCAATTACTGTAGTATGGAAAAAATAAAATAAAAATGGAATATATTGGAATGGAGCTGCTCAGGAGCATCTAATTTATCACTCAGCTTTAATGGTAGCAGCATGTGGACAGTCTAATCTAGGATCAAAAGCTAAATACTGTAAAATCAGATCTGGTTAGTACCTTGATGGGAGGCCATCATAAAACACCATGCCTGTAGGCTAGATGGGAGGTAAAAACCCCAAATCCTAGGATAAGACAATAGCAACACAAACCACTTCCATATTGTTGTCCAGAAAATAACATGGATAAATCTACCAGGAATCAAGCTCAACTTGAAGGTAGCTCAGAAAGTGTCAATCCTTAGTTTGACTTTGGCTGATATTCAAAAGCTAAACAGAGTTAGATGTTGTGTGTGCTTTGATATGACACCATCAAGAAATCCCAGGACTGCAAGCTAAACTGGAAAGTTGAGACCAAAATCTCAGAAGGCAATGGCAAACCACCTCCACACTGCTATAGAGAAAACTACATGGACATGTCCATGAAGTCAATAGGGGTCAAGCTTAACTTGAAGGAGTCTTGACCTTACTTTTGCCATGAAAACAAAGGTCAGGTTGAGGAAAGGCCATTATTAGATCTGCTGGTTTGCACTTCTGCCATTTCGAAGTGATGCCCCACCAATACCATAAAAGAGGAACATTTTTTTAAAGAAAAAGAGATGGGTACGTGGCTTAGGAAAGACCAGCTGCTCAGAAATGAGTCTTACAATCCAGATGCTGCTCTTGAGCATTGGGGTCCTTTATAAGCCACAATGACATCAACTTGACAATGCATGTATCATGACATCTATCACTGTGTGATAGAAGTGCATAAGTTGAATCATTTGATGCTTGTGTCACCATTTGTTCCATCCATGAACACCAATACTCCTGACCCTGATCCAAAAAACATTGTGCAACCTGTCCTTCCCTCTTTCACCCATGGATTGTCCTCTCACTCAAGCAGCACGTAAGTGGGGTCATCTTTTCCTCTCCTTTGCTCCATTCTCTTGCTGCCGGCCATATTTGGTAGCAAAGCTTCTTTGATGTCTTCTCAGTTGACCTCCCAAGCCATTGACCTGGCAGCAAAGAAAAACAGTAGGGCAATTAATAGATTAGGACAGGTGGAAAGCAATGGAATGGGGAAACCATTCCTAATTTAGTGTCCTCCAAAGATGCTAGACTTTTGCCCCAATGGCCCGCCTGGTGGCATGATGGAAAGTACAATTTAAGACATCCAGAGAGTAAAAGATTGGGGAAGGCTGCAGAGCAGAGATGGCCTGATGGATTAATTCAGTAACTAGGGTCCCACAGAGTGTTATATTATGGCTTATGTTATCATGGCTTAGCAAATAAACCATAATTGGCAAGGTTTGCACTTTTTGCTAAGCCCAAATCAGAGGGTTTATGAAAAACCATTCATAAAAAATATATTCATAAAAAAATATTACCAACTTCAGATTCCCTAACAGATTTTGGAAATCCTTCAATCTCATTCCTTTTGGTTTATGTCTTTAATCATGAATCCTTACAAATGCTGGGGATTTTGAAACAGAAGGTGATATAAACCAGCTAGCCCCACCCAGGTACCTGCTTCCGAAGAGAGAGGATGGTTTTTTCAAGTTCTTTCACCAAAGATCTGAGGTCTTCTTCTGGGGAATGGTTCAAAGGTGATCCCTCCATCCTGTCAAGAAGTGATAAAAGAACTTTGCTGGAGTGTGTGTGTGTGTGTGTGTGTGTGTGTGTGTGTGTAGGAGTTTCACATAAAAGTTGGGGGAGGTATGCTCTGTTTAGGGCAACCAGATCTGGACTCTGATGACCACTAGATGGAAGCAAAGGGTTGAAGAAAATGCTGCTCTTTGCTGCTCCGCTGGGGCCATGTGGAATTTTACAAGCCAGATCTGGTAGCTTTAGCCCAATGTTCCTCAACTGACTTCCTCAGCTGGCTGGGGAATTCTGGGAGTTGAAGTCCACACATCCTAATATAGCTGAGGTTGAGAAACACTGCCTTAGCCCTTCTATGAATGAGCCCCAGAAATGCATTTATTGTGCAGAAAATACGCTGAGGATGAGCTTTTAAACAGATTCAATTGTATCTTGGCTATATAAGTGCAAGAAGAAGTTGATAAAGAGACCTTGGTCCTCCTAAGAAGGCCTTGGATGGATTTTCTTCTGGATAGCTGAAGTCGGATGATCTTTTGCTTCGGAACTGCTGTGAGAGGGCTCTCAATTGACCTCTTGTGCTGCAGTCTGGGGCAAAAAGAAGAGTTTGAGGGTAGGGGCAACTTTTGGAAAACTCATAAATACTTGCCCCATATCTGTCATGTTAGCTTTCTTCATTCTCCCTGAATGTAGAAGATATGGGGTACCAGCTAAATGGTTTTCATATAAAATTGTATGCTCACTTCTCTTCCAAAAAATTGATCTCACGTCAGCAACACCCCTTGACATTTTTGCTGGACAAATTGCATAAGAAATTGACACAAATTTGATATCAGAAATGACAATATCCAAACATCAGTGAAGGAACATTTCCACTCTCCGAGACACCCTCTTGTTGAGGATACAATCCTTGAAAACAGATGCATCGAAAATGCGATTCCCTAGGAGATGGCTGGACTTGAATTCATCAGAAGATTTACCACCATGTATCACAAAGAATGAAGCTTCTTAGCATGCATGTATTAACTCGCTCTTCTGTGCAAGAATGAGTATACTGTATCACGCTACCTACTGCTTTGTTAAAGGTCACTACAGGTGAGTTCTTTTACCATTTCCTTCATGCAATGTTCAACAATAGCTTTATGTATGCGTGTGTATGTGTTTTCATACACAACCAGACACAGAGACCCCACAGATTTTCCTTAGGACTAAACTCCAGGAACGTGTTCCTGAAGGAAAAGGGGAGGGTGTTTAAAGATGAAGAAGAAAGGAGCAGTCGATTATGAATGGGCTCCATCTCCCCAAAAATGGCCATAAGTGACTAACAGCACCCAGGAGTAGCTGCTGGGTTGATGGAAATCAGACCTAAAATCCTAAATTCTTATTTTTCCTCTACTGCAATAAATATTCATCACCACCTTTGAAAATTAGCTCTTTTAAAATGTCCTGGTTTGAGAGACCATCACGCATACTCCGAGTGGGGAAAGGCACTTCTTCAACCTTTTCCAGCAAAGGGTCACCTTTGCTGTGATTTCTTCACCTTCGCAGCAGTCTTGCCACATGCGCAGATCCACTTGGGGAATTTCACTGCAGCCAACCATGCCTTGGGGATACGATGCCACCTGGAAGACATCCTTCTGGAGCTGCTGGATGTGGTCACTGTTGTCGCAGATGATACGGGCCAGTGATGCCTGCTTGATCTGCGTGAGCTGGGCTGAAGTGAACACATCTGGATTTTCATACCAAAACCTCATGGAGAAAAGACAAAAATGTAAGGCTATGGAGCACATGGGGGACATGAGGCCGACCAGCAGGATGTAGCTGCCCCTGCACGATCGCCTCCCCACTTTTTGGATGGGCCTTCAATTGGGCAGAGGTAGCTACCCTCTTAATTTTTTAGACCCTTCCCCACCCTTGTTGGACATCCCTGATTTGATACAATCTATTTTGTCCTTGCTCAAAACAAGCATGGTAAGCTCCCTACAGTGTAACACATTTACTTTGTGTGTGTGTGTGTAATACAATGTCAAATTTCTGATCTTGATGGGTTCTAGGGGCCATAAAAAGGGGACGAGGGGTCCTATAGCCACAAATGAGAGGATGCCTATCCTGGGATAGACAGTGGTCACCTGAAAACTTTTTAGGCTGATTTTCTTTGGTTTACGCTATATTTACCTCAGCATGGTAAGTAAGAAGTAACTCGAAGGGGTTGTACTATATTCCAGATTAGTGTTTTTCAAACTTGGCAATTTTAAGATGTGTGGACTTCAATTCTCAGAATTCTGGGATTTGAAATCCACATGTCTTAAAGTTGCTAAGTTTGAAGAACACTGTTCTAGATGAACAAGTATAGGCAGCTGGTTTTTTTTTTTAACCACTTGAGGTCACATCAAAGTATTTTTCAAGGATGCCACTTCACAAGTTCAACGGTTGAGGGCCAAATGAGAGAGTTGGGTGGTTGAACGATGCACATGAACCAACAATCAGCCAATTGGCCAATCGTCACATTTCCAGGTGTTTGCAATACTGAATAAGAGAGGGAAGTTAGAACCCATGAGGTTCAAAGAGGGCTTAATTATAAGCCTAAAAGAGCATCATTTTTCCTTTCTTCAGATGTGCTGAGCTATATCTTGGCAAGAGCAAACAAGGGAACTCACCAAATATGGGATGACTAATGTAAAAAACTCTCTCTGCCTGGCTGGTGAGCCTTGATCAAAGCAACAAATTCCCCAAGGAAATGGGGGAAAGGCAAACCTGGTGTATGGGTTTAACAGTAAATAAAATCAAGAAATAATGTTTTGTTTATAATTGTTACTATGGATTGAAAGCCCCTTTGGAGGAGATGATTACCCTAAAAAGCAAGATATAAATAACTAGAACAAATAATAAATCATGATAAATCACCCAGACAACAAATTGCTTGGATGAAAGGTGAAGAGCAACCTCCCCAACCAGGTGCCCTCCAAGATGTATTGTTGGATACCAACTTTGGCAATCCCAACTAGCAGGACCTTTCTGGCAAGGTTGGTGGAGACTGACTTCCAGTGCTTTTGCTGGCTGCAAGGCTGGAGAAGGCTGGCTGAGAGACTTGATTCTGAGTCAAAATTTGGAATTACCTGTCTCCATTTCGGAGCCGTCTGAACTGGGTCACTAATAAGCACATGAGTGTTGGTCCTACTCTGGTTCCTGGGACAAGATCTTCTACCATCAGGGCTGGAAAGAGGTCGATATTCTTTGTAATTCCATATAAGCTGCAGGAGCAGAGGAGGAAACGGATTCAGAGACCTGGAGCAGATTCAGAGACCTGGAGCAGCAAGGATGTTCATGGGGTGGAAATTTTGTCTTTTAAGGAGAGACAAAGGGAATTGAGTAGGTTTAGCCTTAAGAAGTGATAACAGATAAACCTAGTGCACTATTGTAAAGATATCTTGCCTAGGATATTATACTGGGAGAGTAAAATTGGAGAATATGCTGCAATGCCAAAATGGATGGCACAAATCCATAATGGAAGTTTAATTAAGTTTAAGCAAGAACAGTTACAGTTACAGAGGTGAAGAGTGCACCATTGGGAGACCTGAAGGACCAGGTTAGGGATAGATTGTCATTGAATAGTTCCATGTATGCGGTCACCATTAAAGTGCCACATGTAAAAAAGGAGCAGGACTTTGATGGTATGGTTAGAGCTGCCATTTTCAACCTCCTCCCTGCAGACACCTCTGTTGGGTATGTTTAATCTGGATTCCTGCACCAAATAGGTGTTGGGCTTGGTGCTTCAATAGCTCTTTCGAGTTCTAGGATTCTGTGATCAACGGGTAGGATTAGGAATTGTCTGGTTTGACTTGTTCAGGAGCATATTGGAAGGGTGGAAAGGGACTCTTAAGGGGGACTTCCAAGTCCCCTACAGTGCCCAGGATCCCTTGCAGGAGGCCATGACAGAGTCGAAACAAGCATGGCACCCAAAACTTATCCCTGAGAGAATCACCTAATGCTGTTTGTGTTAAAGCAGGTGTAGGAGTCCTAATCTTGATGGAAGAAACAAGGTGTCCGTCCTTTGAGGTAGTCCAGAGAAGAAGCACAAACCATGAGCACTAATAACACCTTTACTGTAAAGTTACAGTAACGGAATCTTGCAAGCCTGAAAGTACTTCTCCCTTCCTTTTCTTTTACTCTCCAGAAAACTAGGGAGAGATCCCTTCTGAGATGCTTCCCACACCCTTTTTCCTTCTGTGGGCTGAGATACCTTTTGCATCACAGTTGTCTAGGCTGCAGCTCTTCCCCATCTCTAGAGATTATTTTCACAGACCATTGCACAAGGTTGGGATAGGGTTATTTAATATTGTCCCAATTCTTTTCATACTGGAAATGCCAACCTTAGCCCATCCACCACAAAGCTGGCATTAGCTCTTTAGTGAACGTATATATGGCAAGGGACCCAGTTTTCTGAGGGACTGCCTCTCCCCAGTTACATCTACCCATTCCATCAGGACTGGCAGAAGAGGCATGTTATGGGTCCCATCTACGAAAAAGTGTCATCTGGCAGGACCAGGAAGAGAGCCTTTTCTGCCATGGCACCCACCCTCTGGAACATCATCCCCCTGGACCTTAGACTGGCCCCGATCCTCCCAATGTTTAGGAAGGCCCTGAAGACATGGCTCTGCCATTGTGCCTGGGGGTCTGGAAATGGTGGGGAGCTCTTACAATGGCTGTGTTGAGCTGTTGTAGGATGAATTCTGTTGCTGATCATGATTTCCTGTTTTAAATTGAGTATGGATGGTTTTCATATATTTGTATATTGGTTTCTAACTTGTTTTTATTGGATTGTTTTACCCTTGGTGAGCTGCCCAGAGTCACTTGGATGGGATAGATGGTCATACAAATTGAATGAAGGAGAAGGAGAAGAAGAAGGAAGGGAGATGGAGACAGAGAAGGAGAACGAGGAGGAAGAAGAGGAGGAGGAGGAGGAGGAGAAGGTTAGAAAAACTAAGATTGACTTATTTAGCATCCATTCTTCATGCTTCCATACCTCCTGAGTTTCTCCCTGATCTCCAGATTTTTAATTTCATTCTTGAGGTCATCAAACTCCTGAGCAGATGTGAGGTTGCAAAAGACACGGAAATCATTATAAGGTGGGATGCCATGATCACGCCCTCTCTGGATATTGATGGCTGCCAGGTCTAGGGAGACTGAGTGCACCATTGAAAACAGCTTCTCCGTCAGTTCCATGTTGAGGAGTTCAGAAGGGACCCGCATTTTCCCAGGGACCCCAAAAAGCCCACGCAAAAGGGGATCAATGCCACCCTCCTGGATGATCCTGAATGGGGAGAAGAATGCCTTGTGAAGTGGGACGTGGCCTTGCTGGATGGGCTGGAAAGTTTCATTGAGTCGGTAGAGGAGTGGGTTGATAAGGGTGTGGCCAAAGCGAAAAGCAGCTGTGGCAAAGACATTCAGGATGCCAGCATTGGTACTGGGTTCGTAGCCTTTGTAATCTCCCAAGACCTTCATCCCAGCTTCTCCAAGGATCTTGGGCAGCCAGTGGGAGTAGGTGATGTGCTGCATCAGGGCCCCCACAATCTTGCGAGCCTCATGATAGATGGTGTCCCCATCCCAGTGAGGGTTCAAAGCCTGGAGCTTGGTGGCCACCCGATTATGCTCACGGAACCACAGAGTGTGCATGGAAGTCAAGGCCAGTTGTTCATTGGCCCGGTGATCCCCTGCCAAGAAGCATGGCACAGGGCTCTCGCTTTCATCCCGCATGCACTCGGTCGGAGGCCCGGTTGCAAAAGGGAGGAGGGGCTTTCCTGAACTTGGAACCACCTGGCCTTTCTTCAGAAGCCCATTCTGGTTGCTGAGATCCCGCAGTTCGAGGGATTCCTGTTCTGTGCTGCCGTAGACATTGGAAGCATCGATGAAGGAGGTGAGATGGTTGATCTGCTCTCGGGCGTAGACAGAGTTCATCAGCAGGGACGTCATTCCACTGCCACACACGGGGCTGGAGCGCACAAAGAACATGCACCGCCCTTTCCGTACACGGGGGTCATTCTTCGGGATCATGATGGAGAAGCAAGGTGGGTCATTGGTGCACACCTGACTGCAAGACTCTCCATCTGAAAAGCGTGCCATGCTGATCGCAGCCACCGTCTGGTCCAGGTCATGGTCCAGAAATTGTCCCCACTGCATAAGCATGTGAGTGAACTGGTCATCGGGCGTAATGGTCTCGGTGCCAATCATGGCGGTAGAGACCAAGCGAGGCAGAGGAAGGGGGAGCTCCCTGGAATCCTCCACCAAGGAGAAGCCCCGGGGGAGGTTGAAGCCGTTTTGGTAGGCGGGCTTAAGAAGCCGTTGGAAGGCCGTTAGGGATGCGCCCCACATGGGGTGCTGGAGGTTATTGCACGAACCATCGTGGGTCCTATACTTCTTATGGAAACAGATGTCTGAGCAGTTGGGTGTGCGGCGGTGGGCGGAGCAGCCAGATAAGTTGGCAATCATGTTCAGGTAGTGAGGGGAAACCAGATCATTGTAGCGATAGCCTGAAAGACAAGGCAAAACGTTGCATCGGACGAATCAGAATCAAAACAGACTAGCGGCATTCATACCATCTGCTTCACTTGTTTACTGCCAAGCCCACCATTGCTCCTTGTCTGGGGGGAAAATAAAGAAGAGAATTTCTCAGGCTCGTTTTGAGTGAGTTCACGAAGGTAGAACCTCTTTCAGTGATTTGAAATGCTTCTTCCCAGCTTCCTAGCCACCTGGGCTGAATTGGTTTATGAGATAAACTACCAACAGACTCACTTTCTGTCTCCTGATGGTTTATTCCAGTTCTTTCCCACCCTCTCCCCAACGTCTCCCAGATACTAAATGAACTCCCCTTCTGGGTTTGCACAATAGACGGAATCATAAGTTCATAAAGTGGGCTGAGTTCACACCTGGCTACTTTGCATGTTGTGTGAATGAAGCCGCTCTGTTTCTGGGAGTCCTGAACACAGCTATTCAACATTAAATGATTTTTTTTTTTAATATCATTGGCTCTCCAGATTTCATAACTGGATAATTTAACAGCCAAAGATTTATAAAAAGAATGCCTAGAATGTAAGAAACATCCACTAAATTTTGCAGGAACATCTGGTGCTCCTCATCAGCTCCCATCCCTTAGTAAGAGAAAAACTAAAACTAAAACTATATTCTTAAGACCAAAGCAAAAAATGAAAAAACAGGCCAATATTCTACGTTATACCCGTTCCGTTCATGTCCACGAACAACCCTTGCTGGACGTGGTCCTGAATGAGTTGCAAGGTCCTTTCAAAGATCTCTCCAGCCCGAGCCGTCTCAATGGTATAGGGATCCCGTGGATATCTGAAAAGGGCCAGCAATTCATTCGGTGTTTTGGGTCTCCTGTTTGGAAGGGACAGAATGTGATTTTCTTAGCAGCTCGTCATATCTTGCAAACCTCATTTTCCGCATGGTGGTATCTTTCCCCGATTAAATTTCTGACTGGTTGATCCTTGGCTGTTGCATCCCCCTGACTTTCAGTGTGGCGGCAGCTCCCGCTAAATGTGAATGAAATTCCTAATAGTCTTACTTGCTGAACAGTTCGGTGCGGGTCGAATTGATGGCAAAATCCACACTGCTGATGGCTTCCTGGATGGAGGTGGCTACGAAGGTATCACCACTCCTTCCAACATTTGTGGCTTTGTTTTAGCCCACAGAGGAGAAAAAGAAAAGAAAAGAAAAAGAATTTAATTAATGTAATGGATTTATTAAATTTAAAATTAAGGAAGGGCTTGTTTTACTATCTCAGCTCAGTTTGTAGATAATACAGGTAGACCTCATTCAATGACTGCCTGGTGCAGTGGCTGTTTGAAGTTACAACAGTTGAAAAAAACAACCTTGCGACAGGCAATCCTCACATGCCTGTCGCAGCGTCCTGCAGTCATGTGATTACCATTTGCGTGCTTCACAACTGGTTTGCAACAAGCAAAGTTAATGGAGAAGCCAGCATAAAATCGTAAGTTGTGGTCATGTGATGTTTCACTTAATGACCACAGTGTCTCACTTAATGACCAAATGTGAAGTGATGCCATAAGTCCATCATGGTTGTGTGATTTTCTGCTTAGTGATTGTGGTGCTTAGCGACACAGTTGTTGATCCTAGCTGTACTTATTCTTTAAAAACCTATGCACAAATATACCTTCTGAGCACTGAAGCACATCCTGTTACTTTCCTTATGTGCATTTCAAACTGACAAAAGCAGCGTTGTGTGGTTGCATTGTTGTGCCACAATTCCCACCCCTTGAAATCCTTGAAATTTCAACCTGTGTCCTTAGATAAAGCTGCTGGACCTGTCTCCTTAATACTTCCTGTTACTAGAAAACTCCAAGCAGTTTACAATGCATGGTTAACACACATGCATTGTAGAACGGTAGATTAAAACAGCCTCCGAATAGCATATTAATTTAAAAAATGGAAGGAAAGAAGGGAAGGACAAACATCCATTTGTCTGGGATGATACGAGACAGGCAGGGGATTGGGTAGGGAGCAGGTATGTCTACGCAGGGGGAGTCAAAAAAGTTAAGGTGGTAGCCACAACAATTCAATCAAACTCCCGCCCCTTTTTATGTACATCATGTTACAATACATGTAAAAAAGACTGGGGCTTTGATGACATGGTTGGCCACCCTCTTGACCTTTTTGACCTCCTCACCCCTGGCAGGGAGTTAGAAGACCTCCAAGTCTTCTTCCTACCTTTCATTCTAGGCAGAGATGAAATAAAATCCATTTTCAGGGAAAACTATGGTATGCAAACAAAGAATCTCTCTTTTTCTCTTACCAATGACTGTTAGCTGCATGCTGCTAGTTGTGAATCCAGAGCTACTCCTGGCGATACACTCATACCTTCCTTGATCTGCCAGCCCCAAATCTCTGACGGACAAGGTGCCTTCTTGGCTGATGTGGAATTTCCCACTTTCTGTGATCTGAATGCTGTCCTGGTGCAGGAGGAAAGAATTTGGAGCTTGAACAGCATTCTTTCTGCTGGGGAGACCACATTTTGGGTCATGGGAGTCCCCAAAGGAAGTCAAAAAAGTCAAGATGGTGTCTGCAACTCTAGCCACCATTTTGACTTTTTTTGACTGTCCTTCCTCCCCCCCCTGCAGACACCCCTGGTTTTGTTTATGCATGCAGCTGAATGTGAATAAAAAGACGGGATATAAACTAAGTAATCGACAAAACAAAGCGGAATGCAGACATGGTAGGAGAGACATCTGTCTTGTGAACAGTGATGGTCAACCTGGTAGAAAAACCCGTTCGGTAATTCATGCAGAAAGTTTGAGAGAGACAATCACAGTTCTCTGTGTGGATTTTTAAAGGGAAGAACGTAAGACCAGCCCTGCCGGATCATCAGCATTTTGTTTCTTACAGTGACCATTGAATGCCTCTAAGATGCTTGCAAGCAGAGGATGGAGAGATCTCTTTCTCACCGTTGTTCCTTGGCAACTTATCTTTGGAGGCCTATTGCCCCCAACCTAGAGATAATATGGAGTCTTCAACTGATACTCTGGCTAGGCCCGTCATCCCCTGAGTCAAGCTTAACTTGGTCATTACACAGACACATTTCATTTTCTTGGCAAAAATATGGACTTGGTTTACCATTGCCTTCCTCCAACCTTTTATTTTGTTTCCCAGACTAGAAGGCAGCTGTAGGGTTTCCTGGTGGTCTCCTATCCAGGTTTGAACCATGTGCAACCCTGCCAGGCCTTTTGCAAGATCAGTCAAGGATGGCTAGGGCCTGCCCACGTGCTGAGCTCAGCATGCATAAGTGACCAAAACTGAAACTTAAACTGAAACAGCTGTGGTATGAAGAAGCAAACCTTAAAATAGGTCATGCGATTTTGACATGTGGGCAACTGTGCTTTCTGGATGTGACCACTAGATGTCAGTGAAGGCATTGTAATGTTCAAGAAGCCACAAAGAAAAAAACCTTCACACTATATCAGTGTTTCTCAACCTTGGCAAGTTTAAGATGGATGGACTTCAACTCCCAGAATTCCCCTTGCTGGCTGGGGAATTCTGGGAGTTGAAGTCTGTTTCTCAACCTTGGCAAGTTTAAGATGGATGGACTTCAACTCCCAGAATTCCCCTTGCTGGCTGGGGAATTCTGGGAGTTGAAGTCTGTTTCTCAACCTTGGCAAGTTTAAGATGGATGGACTTCAACTCCCAGAATTCCCCTTGCTGGCTGGGGAATTCTGGGAGTTGAAGTCCATCCATCTTAAACTTGCCAAGGTTGAGAAACACTGCATTATATTAACCAACACATTTAGCCGTTTCTTATTTTTTCATTTGCCTAAAGATGCATCACCTTGAAACTTGGAAAGGAAAACTGGACTCCATGAAAACTGGCTGGGGGCGGATGACGGCTGTGGGAATGGTGCCTTCCTTCCCCTCCTTGCATACTGAAGATGCCCTAAAGGGCCTTTCTGGATTTTGGGCTGATATGGAAAAGAAATGATCCAAGTTTTTAAAGCTCGGCTCAGCCCTGTTCCGATGAAGGCTGGACCTGCTTCGGGCCAACATTTCAGAATTAGCTTGCCCAGCCAAGTTTTCAGCGACTACCTAAACCAATGATGCACAACCTTGGGTGGACTTCCAGGAGAAGGTGTTTTGCCCGGAGGGTGGAACCGTGCAGAATAGCCTGCTTCTCCAAGAAAAGTCAAGATGGGAATTCCCAATTCTCCTCCAAACATTTAGGCTAGGGGTTCAGGGGAACTCAGCTGCTGTTGATCTGTTTCTCTGTAAATGTTGTTTGATCCTTGGGCACCAGGGGTTACATGCTGTAGTTTTTGCATAT